GAGGCCAATGTGATCATGCCGAAGGGTCCTTGGGCAAAATAGTGAAACCCCAGTTGCTTCTGATGCTGCGTCATCAGGAGGTGAATGAGGAGGCAGCAGTGTTAAGCGCTTCTAATTTGCGTCACCGCCGGTGCGTTCAGCGTGTCGGGATTTCGCACATTCGGTGTATTTGTGAAAGTGATTTGACCGAAGTGAGGATTAAGCGTGGCAAACGATCTGTGTACGTTTATCGCTCTACTTGCTCAATTGGTTAAATTTGAATGAAGTGGAATCACGGAATACAAGAACAATAGCGAATTTTCGGAGCGACGAATACAAATATTGCATACACGTGTGTATTTACGTCCGAAATAAGGTGTTTCGTGCGGCCGAACTGTATTGCAATTGAACGATGACTCATCCCAAGTTTGGCGGCACGGCCGACGATGTAAAATTGAGCTGACCGAGGTGACATGAAGGCAGCAGCTCGGCGCGAGGAGTGCGAATGAACTCTGGCAGAACAAGTCAAGAAGTACACCGTCTCGTCCGATCTCAAATTATCGTCACAACGTTGACAGTGAACAACTTAGAAGGCTGCCAACTGCTCGACTTATCGTCGTGTGAGGAGACCGAGACGGATCGATTTTGACGACAGACCGACGAACTTTTCTTTGCGATTTGATTTTTGGGGGGGACTTTTGGCTTCGATGTCCTCCGCAAAGTGCGGCGAGGAACTGGAGTTCGGACTCATCTTCGAAGAGGACAGCGGACAAAATGAAGGTTAAGTCCGGTTCGGGCTACTTTTTTTTTTCTTTCTCCCGGGATGTTTTGCTTGGACGTCAAGTCGACGTCATCGTCCGCAAATTAAGGCGGATGTTGGAATTGGGCACCGTGCAACATCCGCACAACAGTGCGCGTTCGACACGTTCCACAATCTTTAAAGTTAACGCGTTACTTTTCATCATTCTAGTCTAGTCGGAACGTTTGCTGCTTTTTGCGCAGCGCTCGACTCTCTGAACACGTCGGCCAAGCATGCTTGCAATTTATTTTGAAATGGAGTAGAGGAAGCCCGCGTGCAACAGTGCGCGTTCGACACATTCCACAATCTGTTTAAAGTTAACGCGTTACTTTTCATCAGACTATTCTAGTCGGAACGTGTGCTGCTGTTTGCGCAGCGCTCGACTCGCTGAACACGTTGGCCAAGTATGCTTACAATTTATTTTGAAATGGAGTAGAGGAAGCCCGCGTGACTTTTGCCGTAACTGTGACACGTCCAGCTGTCAGCTGTTGAATTCTGCTCCATTTTTAGCTTTTGCCGTAAATGACACATCCAGCTGTCAGCTGTTGAATTCTGCTCCATTTTTAAATTGGCACTTGGGGGGGTATGACTTGCACGAGTGGAGTCATTACTAGTTTGTTGTTATGATTGCACATGTCGTGACATTACTTTGTGCACTTGTGTTAGGATTTTATAAAAAACCACGCACGCGGGCAAAAGCAAACGTATGGATTTGTCTTCCAAAAGTCACAACTTTTTATTGAGGGCTTCACTGCGCGTGGTCAGCTTTTCCCCAGCTCGGGGTCTCGACTGTTAAAAAAAAAAAAACTTTTTGACATCACTGCATATATATTTTTACTTTCTTTTCATTCTTTTTATTAATAAAGAAAATAGCTATAGTGATTTTTTTATCAGTCGTTATAAAGTACAATATAGCCATACAATGTGAGGCCTGAAAAGCTTATACAAGCTTGCCATTGAGGCCGTCCAATGTTTGATGAATTTCCCAACAAAGATGGCAA